TCAACTGTTCCAAATATTATCAATCTAGTCTTATTGTGACCATGGTGACAACTGACAACCCAATGGAGTATGGGGTTACACACTTTTGCTTGTAGGGACATAGTTAGGTGAACTATTACAAAGCAGCATACTTCAAAAAGGAGATGTAAATTTCCTTGGTGACCAAAAAAAGAGTTGGGAGGACTAGTCAACTTTAGTATTGATTCTGATGACAACAAGACTGCATGTAAATGTCGGGTGGTCCTTTTAATTTCCTCAAAGCGTGTCTTAAATGTCTCAATCGTTATACCAATGCATGTGTTACCCGCGCCTTTCAAAATGATATTATTTTAATAAGTTTTATATTTTCAGAATTTTAGGTATAAAATTTTGTGTGCATTCTATTATATAATTCTATACATTCGAAACATGAGAATTTTCAATTATAAAATTATGTGTTTTCAAGTATAAAATTATGTGCATTTTATTATATATTTTTGTACATTCAAAACATGCGAATTTTCAATTATAAAATTCTGTATTTTCAGGAATAAAATTCTGTGTTTTTTATTATACAATTCTGTACATTCGAAACATAAATTTTTTTAAGGAGTTAACAGCCGCACGAAAAGATACAAAATAAGGTCGTTTTGGGTCAGGGTGCATAATGCATTGTGTATCCTGGTGCACGGTATAATTCGCCTAAATGTCCCATTAGAGCTATCAATTCTGGACACGCTTTGGATCTTAATAAATTCACCCCTTAAACCCATTATGTTATTTAGATTTTGAGCCACTAAAAGGTTAGCCCGTTATATGTATGAAAAAATTATGTTCTTGGCCCGTTTTGGACAATAGCAATCATTATTGGCAAATTATGCTGTGCATCCGTATGCACCATGCATGGTGCATACGGATGCAAAAACGACGTCGTTTTAATAAAATGCGCGTCTCCTCTTAAAAAAAAAATCATGTTCGATTTCCAGCAACAACATATAAACTAAAATTCCAGAATCGATGAACTATAATTCCATAATCGATGAACTATAATTCCAGAATCTAATCTATGAACTAAAAATTCCAGAATGAATGAACTAAAATTCCATAATCTATGAACTAACATTTCAGAATCGATGAACTACAATTCCAGAATCGATGAACTATAATTCCATAATCAATGAACTATAATTCCATAATCTATGAACTAAAATTTCAGAATGAATGAACAATATAATGTTGTTGCTGGGAATCGAACCTAAATTTTTTTTAAAGGGGAGACGCGCGTTTTTTAATAAAACGACGTCGTTTTGGCATCCGTATGCACCATGCATGGTGCATCCGGATGCACAGCATAACTATTGATCATTATTGGGAAAATTAGACCGTGCACAGGCACATTGTGCGCCTTGGCCAAAAACGACATCGTTTTGTACATTTCGCGTGTCTGCTGTTAATTTCTAAAAAAAAATATCAGACTTTGGCTTGGCTAGAAATACAGTAAGAAATGCAACCGGGCGCTAAAAAAGAATCCAGGCACTTTAACGTGTCTAGTCTATCATCTGGAGATTGTTGCACACATAAAAAACTGACATGCATTGACCTTAGAACTTGAACTACATCATATGAACTAGCTATATGCTCATCAACCAACGCAATTGATTTTCATTCTTTGTAAAGCTTCCATGCCTATATAGCTAGTATATACATACAAATAAAAATGAAATATTCTAGAGAAGAAAGATTGAATTAATGGAAACATATAAAATGGAACACTTACTGACTTACATGTTAAGGAAGAGTCACATATTGATCTTTATTGATAAACTCACTATTTCTCCTACCACTGACTATCTCAAGTACTGAAATGTCAAAGCTAAACACATCCGATTTAATGAAAAAGATATCATGCCCGACATATTCTGGAGACATATACCCACTACATATACCAAATGAGAAGATTACATGCATGAATTGAAACAAACATATGCAATAGATGTGTAGTAGAATATCTTAAAATGAAATTCAAACTCTTAATGTGCTCCAGTAACTTGTTTTGTGTTATCTCCGGTTTCATTTCCTACTATACTTCTAGCCAAGTCAAAGTCTGATATATTTGGGTTCAAATCAGTATCAAGCAAAACATTGCTTGCTTTGAGATCTCTATGGATTATTCTTAGTCGAGAATCTTGATGGAGATATAATAATCCTCGTGCAATTCTATTAATTATGTTGAAGCGTTTTGGCCAATCAAGCAACTTTTTCCTTGTTTGACCTACAAGTTTTATATCATTCTCATTATTGGTACATAGCTATAGAAACTTCAGCTCGGAAAGGGTCCGAGTAGGTGGATCACAGAGCGTTATGCTGTGCAATCGTGTGCACCATGCAAGGTGCACACAGAATTGGATCCATAATTTTTATACTAGATCTATAATTTCTATACCATAAATTCATAATTTTTATATTATAGATTCATAATTTATATACTGTAGATTCATAATTTCTAAACTGTAGATTCATAAATTCTATACTATAGATTCATAACTTCTATACTATAGATTCATAATTTCTAATTTGTATAGTTATCAAATTATGAACATATAGTTCGGTGATTTGTGAATACAGAGTTCAACAATTGGGAATATGAACTTTGAAAATTATGAACATAGAGTTTTGTAATTGTGAATATAGAGTTCAATAATTATGAATCTGTAGTATAGAAATTATGAATTTATAGTATAGAAATTATGGATCTATAGTATAGAAATTATGGATCTAATTCCGTGTGCACCATGCATGGTGCACACGGTTGCACAACATAATTTGCCAATGGATCACGAGTTTGATTCTCATCAATAATCTCTTAATTGAGTCTGTCGCATATGATCTTTGTAGTGCGATTTATTTTTCTTGAATAGTTTGTGGACTATTACACAACAACAGAATTTATCTAATAGCAGAGTTCCTACTTTTTGTTTTTTAGGTGAGAGATCCAATGAAATCTACTCTATTTTTGTTACATGACTTGCAAGTAACCAAAATTTATGAGTAGAAATCACATTTTCTACAAGTGTACATTGTGTAAATGGACATTTTTCCATTTTGTTCATAAACTTTAATTACTTGAATGTCGTGTAAAAAACACAACCTGATTTCACTGAAAGGATCAAAAGTGGAAGAAAAATGCAAGTTGTACATGTTTATAATAGTGCGCCAATAGTGAGAATAACATATATTGTCAAATAAAAGCAATACTTTAGTACTATTATAATTAACTAGTATTTGTACCCGTGCGGTGCACGGCCATAAATAATAATAATATATTCTAAATAATAATAATATAATTAAACAATCTAACAAAATAATAAAAAAATGAAGAAAATTTATATAGAGTAAATTATTTAATAACAATTAACATTGAAAATGTATTACACATTATTAAAAAAAAATTGTATACAACATTTTTTGTCGTAGTTATAGATTGTCCATTATCCATACCAATCAAAATTTTTAATCTCCTTAGATTACTTACTCCTCAAAGTGCTACATACATAACTCACGTGTGAGTAGAAAAATATTTCTCATATCCTTCTACGAATTGTCTTCGAGATTTAATCGGCCCGCAATCGTGTTTAAGCTGATGTTGAGTATTGGTCAACACAAGAATTTGTACATTTGCTGCAATAGTACTAATTATGATTAGGGCTTAAAATAAAATGTGGAACACATAATTTATTTATTATACATAAATTTTATCTTTATTAGCTTCGTCATATTATTATTTAGCTATATAATATATATAACATAATGTATTATTTTAATAAAATAATAATAACAAATTAATATTTACAGCCTGATTATATAATGTTAAATATACTTATTCAATTACTTGCCATAATATAATTGCGGGATGTAATTAGGCTCAATGTTTAAAGAACTGTTTATTTCATTTATGTAAGGCCCAATATTGGGATACCCTTCATCTAGTCGACCCCACCCCATATCTGCGCAGTTGATATAGACCGAGCATCAAGTTACCCTTCATCTAGCCGACGCTCCATCTTCTCTCTAGACATCGATGCACAGTTTGTTTTCTCTATTCTGTCCGATGAACTTTGATTCCACGATCAGTTCTTCGATCTATGTTGATGTAGTCTGTCTTAACACCTTGTTACTACCCAAATTTCTTCAAACTATGTTCCACTCTTTCAGCAAAGCTTACTTCTACCATAATTTCTACCTAGGTCATCTCTTACTCTCATGATCTATGTAACGATTTGCCCAAAATTTCTCACCCAGAACTTCGATCCCAACTAAAAAGAGCTTTGATGCATCTCTGTATGCATCTTTTGTAGTCTTGATCGAGTCAGATCCTCGTCGCGGGTTTGTTTTTTTGTTTAGCACTTCACACCTGTCAATTTAGGTCGGCGATCTTCGATCTTCGATGTTAATTTTAGCTTAAAGTGGAACATAATAAATACCTGAAATTAAGGTTATGGTATTAAAATTATTGAAACTTCATGATATACCACGTTTGTAGTTGATGTAGTAGTTGTACTTGAGTCTTTTACAATCAATATTTTCAGACCATACTAATATTGTTAATTCGAGATGCAGCCTTGTACAATTGGCCATGTACAAACACCGATTTCTTTAGTAGCAATCCAACATGTGACAATGTTTGACCTTGACTTTTGTTTATGGTCATTGCATATGATAGCATCAACGGAAATTGTCTTCTTTAAAAATAATAAAATTAATTATTAATAAATTTGAGTATACATTTAGGATTTTAAAATAATGAAACATTATATAATAATTATATATAATAATTATATATAATAATTATAAATACTGACATAACATTAAAAGTATTAATACTTTACATAATAATAATCCTAACTATCCTAATCCTAAAATAGAATATTAATATACACAGTTAAATTACATATTACATATTATTATTAATATTTTAATAGTATTTTGTCCTAAAATCCATTTCATTTTGTGGTAATATTTCATTCACCGTCTTCTCTTGTCAGGAGCAAGGCCGAGAACCTTCTTTCATTTCACCATCTCTGTATCTCTCTAGCTCTTTACATGATGAACAGCCTACTTCTCTCTAAAATTCTGGCTCGATTTACCGTTTAATTTTAACATTCTGAGTGTATAATCAGTATATCCGTTCCAAAATACCTGATTTTGGAATACATCTTTCAATCTGATGTCTCAAGGAGACTATTTGTATATGGAATTTTGTTTTCCAGCTTCCGAGTTCAGAAAACCGACACTCGAACGGAGTTCGCATCAACCATTTCCGGCTTAAGGTTCCGACCCAGAGTTCATCTCAAACTCGATTCAGGTAAATGTTCGAACATGAATTGCTTAATTTATGTATTTTTGGTCGAAAATTTGCGTAAATATTGTGTTATCATGTAATCTGGAAGGAATAAACTTAATACTCTGCTATTCATATTGACCTAGGGCGAGATCTGATGTTTGATGTTTATGTTTTTCAGATGCATGTTTGGATAACAAAAAGTTAACGGCCATTTGATAGAGATTATTTTTTTCATTCTTAAATTTCGTTTACTATTTATATATTCATGTTTGGAACTATATAATTTGACCGTAAAGCTTGATTCATGCTACAGACAAAACTCTATTAGTTATGGGTAAGTTATTGAACTTAATTTATTGTGATTTACTTTCTGCCCATGGTTGTAAGGTCTGCCTAATTGTGTACTGATATTTACTTTCCTCTGTGGTATTTTTCAGTCATACATAAGATTTATAAAGCATCAATGGTGTAATAATAAGAAAAGTAGTTAGGTTTACCTTTGATTGAGAGATTCTTCCTCTTAGACCCAATAGTGATTGAGAGATGTAATTTTCCTCATGGTGTCTTCATAGATTTATTATACAGACTATATGTGTGGAGACATTGTTCTGAAAATGTTTTCTGATGATGTATGGAGTCCCTTTTATAGTTCTTAAATAATAATAATTTCAGATTGAGAGAGGAAGGTCATCAGTTTCTTGAAATCTGTGATCTTTATTTTAAATCTTGGAATACTATGACTTTTATGTGTGCTATTTATTGCAAAGTATTAAAATAACTAATTTGTTTTCACAGTTTGAAAATTCATCATTTCAGAAAATTTGATTTACTTAATTTTAACCATTTTAAGCATGAGCCTAAATAAGTCATATTCTTATGTCCTTTTCCCATTAAGTGTTACCGATTCTTGAAAACTGGCAGATTATGCATATTATTGATAATGTACATCATCTTTTATTTTTTAGTTGGTTATAGCTGTGTTTGAATCATGTTTACCTTATCATTTATTGATAAAATTTCTTTTGCAGATAAAGTTTAAGAATACTCAACACGATGCTGTGGTAATAACACCTCAAGAACGTGTGAAGCCAATTCTGCAATTGTAAAATCACATGTAACCATATTTTGTTATACTTGCATTCAAAAAAATATATATATATATATTTTGTTATACTTATAATTCTGCAATTGTTGTTTTTTACTGGACTTTTTGAGAAATAGTTCTTAAATATTTTTCTATCAATTAACTTGTTGATAAGTAAGTTAAATATCACTATACTTTTTGATACACTTGATTTATGAGGTTACTTATTGGCTAAGAACTGTTTTTTAAATATTGTGAACGACTGCTTAGGTCCATTAATTATTGGTTTTAAAAAATTTGGTATAAAAAGTGATTTATAATTCTTAGTTTGTGTAACAAATGACCAAATGTGATTTATTTTGATTACACTTTTTTATATGAAAGTGATTTTGTTTATGTGACTTGTTGGTTAAGAACTGTCTTTTAAACATTGAGAATGAGTGCTTAGGTCAATTTTGTATTGGTTTTAAAAAGTTTGGTGTAAAAAGTGATTTATTATTCTTAGTTTGGGTAACAAATGACCAAATGTGATTTATTTTGATTACACTTTTTTTATATGAAAGTGATTTTGTTTATGTGATTTGTGTTTGCTATGAGTATTGGTTTTCAAGCCTATTGCATCTGTATGAAGTGGTTAGAAATTTACTGACAGTCATACTTGTGAATTTCACAATGTTATATTTGGATAAGTCATTTTTAAATCACACAATTTATATGAATGTGATTTTGTTTATGTGACCCGGCATGCGTTTTTTCAGAGTATTGATTTTCATGGCATGCATCTGCAAACTTATATTTAGAATTTTACGTATAGACTAACTTAAGAATTTCTGATTTTTTATATGAAGACAAGGGAAGAGTTCTATATAACTATCTGAAGATTAGTTGAAGAAGTACAGAAGACTTTAGATCAAAAATGAAGTTTCATCATATTTCAGAGGTACATAATATTACTATTCTCCTTTCTAGGGTAACTATCTTTAGGACAATAAATATTTGACATTCCCTATAACACAATCCTTATTAAGTACATATACAATCTTCTAGTCATGCATTTAGAACATCATCTTCTGTGTTTGCCATTAGGAAGGTGCTCCACTACCTGCAAAAAAAAAAAAAAAAAAAGAGCCTATGCAAAACAGTGTATATATATAAAGAATGTTGCAATGAAATAGTTAAGTCTTAATGCATAATTTGAAATCTGCCCACATGCCCATTATCCTTCAATGTCTATATGTAAGGCATATAGACATTGAATAATAGGCATCAATGTCTTTCAACCAAAAAACCTACTTAAAAAAGTTTTACAGGCATCATTGTCTGGTAATAGCATTGTCCAACCAAAAAACACAGAAAAATTCAATACAACTTAGTCCAATCCTTCACTCTTTCCACTCATTACATATCTGCTCCTTTCTCAAGCTTGACAACATGCTCTTTAGTTTTTTTGGAACTCTGGGTACTTGAAAATTCATCAGTAGAGACCTCTTTACTGCTCCACTTTCAGCCAGTTTGTTTGAATTGAGTTGAATTGAATTGTCTAGGAGCATGGATCTCGACAACTCTGCCTATTAAATCTGTATCAACACAAAAATAATTGAATAGTAGACCAAATACAAAAATAGTTGAAAGAAAAATAGCAAAAATAAGAACAAAATACTTACCAAACAACACCTTGTCATTGACTTGAGTAGGGTCTTTCAAAGATTCATAGGTTTTTAGCTGAAACATCTTAGTAGGAAAACCTTTGGATTTGATTGCATTTACCCGAGTCTTATAGTTTAGCCTAATCATATATTTGTGATCACAAGTTTTGTACATATAATAGTGGGTGAACACCAATTTTTTTTTTTTACTGAATAGAGCTTTCCTTCTATTAAAACATTTTTGTATTTTTTGACACCATTGTTTTGCATGTTCAAATGTATGAAAGTTCTCTGCACATAACTTTAGTGAAATAAATAAAACATGTGTAGAGCATAAATCTGTGTAAAGCCTAAAGTTTAAATAGTAAACGAAAATATTAAACAGTGAACTAAAATACCTCTTTATCGCAGACCAACACTTCTGGACTCTTGATCTCTATAGACTCTCTGTTTTCAGCTATTTCATAGCATCTAACACACTTGACTCTTATTGCTTTCTCCCTATCGAGAGGGCCAATCTCTTATTATTTTACAGCAACATACATTGCCATGGTTTAGTTGCTGATATTTTGGTTCTCTTTTTTCTAATTGGCAGGTGATACGAACTGCAGATATGGTGAAGTTGGGAGGGGATTTCTCCATGGACACAGGCTTATATAGAATGTAAAACTATGGAGTTCAAAATCTTGGAAGTAGGAATGGTGCTGTCGACCGTTCAGTTTTCAAGAGCATGTATGTTTTCGAAGCAATGTTTAATATGAACACTGTGTTTAGAAGTCTGTAATTAGTAGAAGTCTATTTAATTTGATCTATTTTACTTGGTATTGCCAAAAAGTAGCTGGCACAAATAAATTCCACGCGTTTAGCATCATTTATTTAAAATCTTTTTTTTTGTGGACATTGAGCGACGTCGTTTCATTTGAGCGGGAAAATGGTTTAGGTAGAAAGTTGTTGCTTTATTATAATAAGAGATTTGAGCGGGAAAATGGTTTAGGTAGAAAGTTGTTGCTTTATTATAATAAGAGATTAGTGTGTGGAAAATGAAACTACAAAATAGAATTTATATAATAATATATATTGTCAAATGAAACTATAGTATAATTAAAATGATACTTTGGTATTGCTATAATGAAACTAGTGAGTGTGAAAAATGAAACTAAAAAACAGAACAATATCGTTAAATGAAACTGAAGTGTAATTAGAATGATACTTAATTTATGGATCACATTACTACATGGACCATGGTCAACAGTAAAAATTACCTTATATGTATGTATGAAAAATTTATGTTCTTGGCCCGTTCTGGACATTACCGTATGGAGATTGTCGAATTCCTCCCAAAGTTTATATTATGTTTATGATATATCATATCCATCTCATTATCTTATTAAATATTTTCACTCCGGCCTAAAAGAAGTTGAACTGTACTTGAAACATATGGTTACCAAATCAATTGTTGATCTAAATTAAAGATTGTCCGGGCCTTTGTGAAATCCTAGTACTTAGGAGTCATTGCTCTGAACAATTTTATTCAAGTTATTTCATCAGTGTTATATTAAAATCAGATTGTTAAATGACATGATACACCAATGCAAAAATAATGTTCTTAATTCTTATTGATGTCTGCATTTCAAATTTGTAAGCATCAATTGATATAACAAGGATATCTTTTGCTATCTAAGTTTACTCCAAATTGAGTTTAAATAAATTTAAATTATACATTTACCGAGGACTCATTGTCGTAATAGTAACTTCATTTAGGGAACTTTTTGCATGTCTCTTTGGAGGATATTCCTTGCCAAAAAAGAAGCCAGGCTCTTTAGCTTGAGGCAATGCAAAATCATTAACCAACATCTGAACTACAGAAGACATGTCTGGTCTATCATCTGGAGATTGTTGCACACATAGAAGGGCGATATGGATTGACCGTAGAACTTGAACTACATCATATGGACCAGCTATATCCTTATCAACCAGTGCAATTGGTTTTCCTTCTCTATAAAGCCGCCATGCCTATATAGTATTTAAAATCATATATACAAAGAAAAATGGAATATATAATCTAGACAAGAAAGAATGAATTAATTGAGACATAAAATCGAACACTTACATGTTCAGGAAGAGTCATGTATTGATCTTCATTGATAAATTTATTATTTCTCCTACCACTGACTATCTCAAGTACTGATATGCCAAAACTAAACACATCCGACTTAACTGAAAAGATTCCATGCCCAGCATATTCTGGAGACATATACCCACTACATAGTATAGGTGATACCAAATGAGAGGATGACATGAAACAAAAATATGCAATAGATGTGTAGTAGATCTTAGATGAAATTCGAATTCTTACTGTGTTCCAGCAACTCGTTTTGTGTTATCTCCCACTGCATTTCCTACTATACTCCTAGCCAAGCCAAAGTCTGATATCTTTGGATTCAAATCAATATCAAGCAAAACATTACTAACTTTGATATCTCTGTGGATTATTCTCAGTCGAGAATCTTGATGGAGATATAATAACCCTCGCGCAACTCCATTAATTATGTTGAAGCGTTTTGGCCAATCAAGCAACCTTTTTTTTGTTTGATCTGCCAAAGGTTTAAGTTAGTTTTGTTTCAATAATTTCCTGTGATTTGGATATAGATGACAAGGTAAACATACCAAATATGAAGAAGTCCAAACTTTTGTTAGGCATGTATTCATAGATCAACATTTTTTCTTCCTCGCTAATGCAGCACCCCAAAAGCTTGACAAGATTTCGATGCTGTAATTTGGCAATACAAATGACTTCATTCTTGAATTCTTCAAGTCCTTGTTTAGAATTTTTTGATAGCCTCTTCACAGCTATTTCTTCTCCCCCATCCAATGCACCCTAAGCAATTAACATAAATAAAATAAGATTATGTACATGCCCATCCAAGAAAGATGCATATACTTTTACCTTGTACACAGCTCCAAATCCACCTTGACCTAATTTGTTTATTTCTGAAAAATTATTTGTAGCTCTTGATATTGTTGACTGATCATATATTGGTAGCTCTAATTCTTGCTCCAACTTTTGTTCCTTCCTTTTTCTTTTGCAGAAATACAAGAAAAGATACACCCCAGCAAGAACTATTACAACCAGCAGCGACAAACAAAGTGCAAGGATTTTTATTTTCCTCCTGAATGAGGTTGAATGATGTGGTTCTGCTTTTAACCCTGTAGTTCAAAAAAACTTCTCTTATTTCTTATTTTTTAAAATTTTAATGATGAGAAAAACCGTAACCATTACATAAAGGTGTGTACTGGGTAAACCTTCCTTGTGATCTTAGGTGGTAAAGGATCAGAAGAAGGTAAACAAGCTTAGATTAACTTAAACTAAGAAAGTCAGTAGACCTCTCTCACAGAAAAACGAACTTAGAACATTGTAGTTACTAAGCCAACAATCTGATCAATTTGACTGGATTGCTTCCAACCTCTCTTATTTCTACTTTATTGTCAGGCTGTCAAACTGATAATAAACACATTAACTATACCTGGAATTTCAGAAGCAGCCAGTCTGATGAACATATCTTGCCCATTCTGTACTGGTCTCATATCAACCAAATCTCCATACCAAATCAAACACCCTCTTCCGCCATTGCTTATATTGAGAGTGGAATAAGCCATACAAGAGCAATTCCTCAAGCAAACTTGTTCACACTCTTGAAGGCTCATAGATTCATTATACCAAGAGTGCCTTGTATCTGGCAATTTGATATTAGAATATTTGAGGAATCCATCTGATGAAGATCCATTATTGTGGCAATTCAGGGGTTTTCTCCTACGGCATCCTCGTGACAAGGTTCCTGTGACTGTGGCATTATTATTAGGCAAAAATTTGTCTAAACATACACAACCATGAAATTGCTGTATGTTGCAGACACAATTTCCACCACATAAACCATATGTGGCACAAATATCTGCAGGTTGCCTACGATAACTCACCCATTGGTTCATCTCATCTTCCCATACCCATGCTTTTATAAAACCATTGCTTGTAACAACAAATCTAAATAAACCAAAATCATTACTGGGATTATACCAAAAATAAACCTCCTTTTTATTTATAACCACTACTTGTGGGCCAATGTTGTTGATGTTCTGTTCTACTGTTGATACACTAAAGCGCAAACCATTCCATGGACCTGTGCTAAAAATCTCAGTTGTTCCATTCTTGAGAATAAGTTGTGGATATCCAGTAACATCCAGGTGCTGTGTATACTGGCCTGAAGCTGGGTCATTTTCACCCTTCCAAGCTGTTAAAAAAACCTCATGACCAGTCTGCAAATTCCACCCAAACTTCATTCCGGGTAACAAATGATCAGTTGGATGATCAAAACTTTGCCAGACAAAATTCTCGGGGTTTTCATCATCTGCATCTCTCACCACCAGGTTCCCTGAATCCAGCAGCTCTGCAACCGGATTTTGCACCGATGATGTTGATGTGTTGGCAGACCAAACAGGCTGACCCTTGTCTCCAACAAGTGAAAGTTGGCCTCCCAGGGTGATCTTCAAGACTGCTGAAGTTGTGTTTGCGAGTGGAGCATCTCTGTTTGCAACCCAAACCACTGTCTTAGCTGGATCTTGTTTGTACCATATACCTATGTAATGGTTTAAGGAATTGGTGGGGTTAAAAAATCCCATTACGAAGGTTCCACCTTTTGAGATGATGGTATCCCCATTTTTCAGAAACTTTGTTCTTGAAATTAAATCGATATCCTTTCCCAAGCAAATATTTGATATCAAAAGTATAATCAAAGCTGGTAAAAGAACTTCCATGGCTACTGCAGATAGAGAATGGTAGAGGAATTTTTACAATAGGCTAAAATGAAGATCAGACAATCAACACCTCGTGTAAATGCAAGGAAGGATCTTTCCCTAGTAACGTGTCTTGACTGCTTTGCATCTTAACAAATTCACCTATTAAACCCATTATAAATTTTTTGGAGTGATCAAGAAAATTCAGAGTCACTATTCATACATTGGGTAAATTTCATTTTGTGAACCAAGTCAGCAAATGATGACAATGTGACAAAATCAGCCTATATTATATGTAGCTGATTGGTTCAAACTAATAATACTAAACATTAATTAAGACTATACATTTGTATGGTAATATCGCACTATTGATCTTTCAATTTAATATTTTATTGTTAATTTTTAAAATTGTAGTTTCTCAACTGCTCCAAACATTATCAATCTAGTCTTATTAGAGGGAAAAAAAATTAATGGATAAAAATCATAACTCTCTTGTATTAAACAATCAAAACATGCCACATATTAAGAAGTGAAAAATGAAAGTATAGAATAAGAGTTGATATAGAATTACTCCTTCAGAAATAGAATGTAAATTTCCTTGGTGACCAAAAAAAGAATTTGGCCTGGGAGGACTAGTCAACTTTGGCGGATTGATTGTGATGACAACAAAAGACTGCATGTAAATGCCGGGTGGTCCTTTTCCTCAAAGCGTGTCTTAACTTCACTTCTGTATGTATTTTCAATGTCCCGTGAAATTTCAAACCGACGCCCATTAGAGCTATCAATTCTGGACACGTTTTGGTTTATGTTTATCAAATCATGAAAGCCAATGGCACCTATTACGCTTTGGATCTTAACAAATTCATGTCCAGACAGCTCAATTGGTCACATTGATAAAGTTTGAAAATAACGACTATTTATCATATCGTGTCTCACTGGGAACAATCTCTCAAAGTAAGGGGTAGTCCTTGTTTCAAACATGTGGTTATCAAGTTAATTGTCTAACCAACTCAGTTAAACATTTGTCTTTTGTGGAATCATAGTATTTAATTTGGGAGTTATTGTGCTGAACAATATTATTCAAGTTAATTCTTTTGTGTTATATTATAAAATCCAGTTATTAAATAACATGATGTACATGTACAAAAATAATATTCACATTTCTTATTGATGTCTGCACTTCAAATTCATAACCATCAATTGATCTAACATACGATATCTTTGACGTACTATCTAAGTTTTTTCTATACTGAATTTAAATTAAATCTAAATTATACATTCAACGGGGACTCAACAACGTAATAGTAACTTCATTTTGGGAACTTTTTGAATGTGTACCCGATGGATATTCCTTACCAAAAAAGAATCCAGGCTCTTTAGCTTGAGGCAATGCAAAATCATTAACCAACATCTGAACTATAGAAGACATGTCTGGTCTATCATCTGGAGATTGTTGCACACATAGAAGGCCGACATGGATTGACCTTAGAACTTGAACTACATCATATGAACCAGCAGCTATATGCTCATCAACCAAAGCAATTGATTTTCCTTGTCTGTAAAGCTTCCATGCCTATATAGTATTTAAATCATACATACAAATAAAAAGAAATATTCTAGACAAGAAAGAATGAATTAATGGAAACATATAAAATGAAACGCTTACATGTTCAGGAAGAGTCACATATTGATCTTCATTGATAAACTCATTATTTCTCCTACCACTGATTATCTCAAGGACTGAAATGCCAAAGCTAAACACATCCGATTTAATGGAAAAGATTCCATGCCCTGCATATTCTGGAGACATATACCCACTACATATACCAAATGAGAAGATGACATCAAATAAACATATGCAATAGATGTATAGTAGAATATCTTAAAATGAAATTCAAAATCTTACTGTGTTCCAGCAACTCGTTTTGTATTATCTCCTGTTGCATTTCCTACTATACTTCTAGCCAAGCCAAAGTCTGATATCTTTGGGTTCAAATCAGTATCAAGCAAAACATTGCTTGCTTTGAGATCTCTATGGATTATTCTTAATCGAGAATCTTGATGGAGATATAATAATCCTCGCGCAATTCCATTAATTATGTTGAAGCGTTTTGGCCAATCAAGCAACTTTTTCCTTGACTGATCTACACAAGGTTTCCTTAATTAGTTTTGTACTAACTATTTATAATATATGATTTGGTTATATAGATGAGAAGATAACTAATCATACCAAATATGAAAAAGTCCAAACTTTTGTTAGGCATGTATTCGTAGATCAACATCTTTTCTTCCTCACTAATGTAACACCCAAGAAGCTTCACAAGATTCCGATGCTGTAATTTGGCGATACAACTGACTTCATTCTTAAATTCCTGTAGTCCTTGTACAGAATTCTTTGATAGCCTCTTCACAGCTATTTCTTCTCCCCCATCTAAAACACCCTGAGAATTTAAAAATCAAGGAAATAAGATTCTGCCCACATCCATTCAAGAAAGATGCACATATTTTTTTTTACCTTGTACACTATCCCAAATCCACCTTGTCCTATCTTGTTTGAAAAGTTATTTGTAGCTCTTGACATTGTCGACCAGTCGAACATTGGTAGCTCTAATTCTTCCTCCAACCTTTGTTCTGTCTTTTTATTCCTGCAAAAATACCAAGAAAGCAACACCCCTAGAAAAACTATTACAACCGGCAGCAACAAACAAAGCACAATGATTTTTGTCTTCCTCCCCATTGAGCTTGAATGATTTGGTCCTGCCAACAAAAGGCTTTTCTGATCATTTCACCTTTACTGTGATCTGAGGCTGTCATCATAAGTATAAACTACATGAATATATTATATATCATATATACCTGCTGTTACTTCAGAAGAAGCGAGTCTGATGTATATGTCTTGCCCGTTGGGAGACACTGGTTTAATCCCAATCAAATCTCCAAACCAAATCAAACACCCAATCCCTCCATTTCTTATGCTGAGAATCGAATAGGCCGTGCACGAGCAATTCCTCGAGCAAATTTGCTCACACTCTTGCAGATTACTCACGGACTCGTTAAACCAGGAGTTGTTTGTGTCTGGCAATTTGATTCCAGAATAGATTTGGAATCCATCCTGCAGGCAGCTAAGTGGCTTTCTCCTATGGCATCCCAGTGAAAAATTCTCAGAGGAATTGTTATTAGGCAAAAACTTTTCCAAACACCCACAAGTAGGAAAACCATCCACGTTGCAGAAACCATTTCCACCACAAACACCATAAGTGTCACAACTATCCAATGATCTCATTCCAAAATTCTGCCATTCTTTTGTCTGATCTTCCCATACAAATCCTTTGAGAGCACCATTACTGGTAAGCACAACTCTTAAAGAACTTATGGCCTTACTGAGACCATATGTCATGTAAACCTCCCTTCTATTCCTAGCCAGCCAAAATGGTAAAACGCTGCCCTTTCCTCCTGATTCACTCGAGCTCAAATTAGTCCATGGCCCCGAGGAATAAATCTTGGTCGGTCCATTCTTGATCACAATCTGGGGATACCCAGAAGGATCCAGGTGAAGTGTGTATTGCCCGGAAGCTGGATCGTCTTCGCTCTTCCAAGCTCTGATGAAAACCTCATGACCAGTCTGGAAATTCCATCCTATCTTCATTCCGGCTAAGTTATGATCTGTGGGATAATCAAAACTTTGCCAGACAAAATTCTCCGGCCTTTCATCATCTGCTTCTCTCACCACAAGGTTCCCGGAATCCAACAACTCGGCTACCGGATTCTGCACCGATCTTGATGATGAGTATGAATGCCAAACAGCCTGTTCGTTGTCTGCTACAAGTGCGAGTTGGCCTTCCAGGGTGATCTTCAAGGCTGCTGAAGATGTGTTTGTGAGTGGATGATCTCTGTTTGCAACCCAAACCACTGTCTTCTTAGGATCTTGTGTGTACCATATGCCTATGTAAGTGTTTAAGGAATTGGTGGGGCTAAAAAATCCCATCTCAAAGATTCCGCCTTTGGAGACGACGGTATCCCCAGATTTTAGGGATTGTGTTTGAGTAACTAAATTCTTTGCGAGAGACGACGTGTTTGATATGGAAAATGAGAAAAACAGAAGTAAAGCCAGTAACAGAGCTTCCATGGCTATTGCTAGCTTGAGTGGGAGAGGAAACTTAATTGTTGAATTGGGGGAAATATAATGAATATCGGCCAACCATGCAAGATCGTGGAACTCTTCTTGCCTCATTTTTTGCTCTCTTTATTGAGTCTACTAGACTAGACTATTAAGGGTCTGTGGGTCACACTTAATTCAACATTCATAATTCAGTTTTTGCTATTTTTGACCTACAAGTTTTATATCATTCTCATTATTGGTACATAACTATAGAAACTATCAGCTCGGGAAGGGCACGAGTAGGTGGATCACGAGTTTGATTCTCATTAATATTCTCTTAATTGAGTCTGTCGCACATGATCTTTTTAGTATGATTTACTTTCTTGTGTAATTTGTGGACTATTACACAACAACAAAGTTTACCTAGTAGCAGAACAGAGTTCCTACTTTTTGTTCTTCCGATGAGAGATCCAATGAAATCTACTCTATTTTTGTTACATGACTTGCAAGTAACCAAAATTTATAAGTAGAAACCACATTTTCTACAAGTACATTGTGTAAATGGACATTTTTGTATGTTATTCATAAACTTTAATTACTTGAATGCATGTCGTGTAAAAAACCCAACCTGATTTCACTTAAAGGATCAAAAATGGAAGAAAAATGCAAGGTGTACATGTTTTTAGTGGCAATTTTCATAATTGTGTGCCAATAGTGAGAATAACAATAGATGAAAAGTGGCAATAACTCCTATAGGCTTGTATTTGCAGCTTATTCGCATTAATTTGATTGACTAGTTCTATGCGTATGAAATATTGAGTAAAAATCATGGCAAATAATTGCCAAAAATTTCTCATCTAGAGTGGTTGGCCAAATTGATAGCAATTATGATTTTTGAAAGTGAAATCAATACAGTCAGCACTTTACTCCTTAATTGAGCTAGTTCAGTGTGAATAAGGATTAGTCAAATTAAATGTCTATTCAAACATTTCACTTTACTCCTTAATTGAGCTAGTTCGGTGTGAATAGGAATTAGTCGAGTTAAGTGTCTACTGAAACATCTCGTGATCTAATCAAATATAGATATAAATAAAATAAGTCAATAAATCTCAATATCTTATTAAATATTTATACTTTTTTTTTTGAAAACATTAAATATTTATACTTAGCTAAATACAAATTACGTTATTCTTCTTATGAAATTTACGGTGATTGTTATTACACCTCAATGATATTTGAGATGAACTGAGTGTAAATATCTTCTGATTCTTCTCTTGCCAACAAGTCTAGGAAAAGGTTGTATACCAAGATTATATCCTCTTGAAGTCTTGGTCGACTCAATCACACATGGTCATCTTAATATTATTATTTACCTAAGAGCAAACTTTATTCGTACACATCATCATCAGATAGTAATTATAGATTTTTCTTTAAAAAAAAAAAAAGTCTACTTTGGCGTGCGGTGGAAAAACTCTTTCATCTACCAAACAGTACCATGGCTACAATTGCTATCAATGTATCCTAATAAGGGGTGGTTGAGAAAACTCACGTAATATTTTTATGATTCTGATTATCATAGTTGCATTCTTGGCCTAGTGGTCTGAGTCTATTGCACTTAAGACGGCAAATTATACCATGAATTAAAATTTACCTTGTATTGTGAATTCTAATTTAAAATGTCATTCAGATTATATATTTGTTATCATTGTGGACCTTGATTCAAAATGACATTCAGATTATATACTTGCACATAAAATATGCTAACTACAGTATATGTAAAAGCAATGTTCATATTTCTTAACCATATGATATCTTTTACCACTTAAGTTCTTGTTCTGCGAGCTTAATTTAAATAAAACTAGATTATACAGTCAACGAGGATCCAATGTTGTAATTGTAACTTCATTTTTGGAACATTTTGCAGCATGTGTGCCTAAAGGGTAGTGCTTGCCAACAAAGAAGCCAGGCTCCTTAGCTTGAGGCAATGGAACATCATTTACCAACATCTGAATTACAGAAGACATGTTAGGTCTATCCTTGGGAGACTGTTGCACGCATAGAAGGCCGACATGGATTGACCTTAAAACTTCATCTACATCATATGAATCAGTCATATGCTCATCAACCAATACAATTGGTTTGTCGTTTCTATATAGCTTCCATGCCTGTATAATATGTAAAATCATACCGAGAAAAATAAAATATTTCAAATATGAAAGGATGAATTAATGGAAGCATCTAAAATGGAGCATACACTTACATGCCCGGGAAGAGTCTCATATTCATCTTCATTATTGGAAAATTCACTATTTCTCTTACCGCTAACTATCTCTAATACTAAAATGCCAAAGCTAAACACATCTGATTTAACTGAAAAGATCCCATGCCCAGCGTATTCTGGAGACATATACCCACTGCATAGTATGGGTAATACCCAATGAGAAGATGGCATTATGAAACAAACATATGGAATAGATGTGTAGTAGAGGATTTTTATATGAAATTTAAAAATTCTTACTGTGTTCCAGCAACTCGTTTTGTATTATCTTCGGTTGCATTTCCTACTATACTCCTAGCCAAACCAAAGTCTGATATCTTTGGAATCAAGTCAATATCAAGCAAAATGTTGCTAGTTTTGAGATCTCTATGAATAATTCTTAGGCGAGAATCTTGATGAAGATACAATAGACCTCGAGCAACTCCATTAATTATGTCGAAGCGTTTCGGCCAGTCAAGTAACTTTTTCCTTCTTTGATCTGCCAAAGGTTTATTTAAGTCAGTTTCATTCAAATAAATTCCTTTCAATCCGTTAAAGTTCAAAAGATAACCATACCAAATATGAAAATGTCTAAACTTTTGTTAGGCATGTATTCATAGATCAACATCTTTTCTTCCCCACTAATGCAACACCCCAAAAGCTTCACAAGATTCCGGTGTTGTAATTTGACTAAACAAATAACTTCGTTCTTGAATTCCACAAGTCCTTGTGTAGAATTCTTTGATAGCCTCTTCACAGCTATTTCTTCTCCACCATCTAAAGCACCCTACAAATTGAAAGACAAATAAATAACACTCCTAATATACTTAACCAAGAAACCTACATTTTGTTATATGAACTTTACCTTATACACTGTTCCAAATCCACCCTGTCCAATCTTGTTCTTCTCTGAGAAGTTATTCGTTGCTCTTAATATAGTTGACCAATCAAATATTGGCAGCTCTAACTCTTTCTTCAACATTTGTTTTGTAGTTTTCTTTTTGCTAAAGTGCCAAGAAGTCAACAAGCCTGCAAATACTATTACAACCAGCAGTGACAAACAAAGTACAAGGATTTGTGTTTTCTTCCCCCTTGAGCTTGAATGAATTGGTTCTGTTTTTAGTCAAAAGAGATCTCTCAATTCAACTTTATCATCATAAGGCTATCATAAGTATATATATATATAAACGACAGGAATTCTACCTGGAATTTCTGTAGAAGCCAGTTTGATGTATATGTCTTGCCCATATGAAGATATTGATCTGATATTGATCAAATCCCCAGACCAAACCAAACACCCACTCCCTCCATCGCTTATATCGAGAGGCGAATAAGCCATACAAGAGCAATTCCTCAAGCAAAGTTCTTCACACTCTTGAAGACTCATAGACTCATTATACCAAGAGTTCTTTGCATCTGGCAATTTGATCCCAGAATACTTAACAAACCCATCTGTTGTAAACCCATTCTGGCAATTCAGGGGCTTTCTTCTATGGCATCCCTGTAACCAGTTTTGAGCTGCATTTTCATTAGGCAAAAACCTGTCCAAACATCCACAACTGGGAAAATTGTCTATGTTGCAGACACCATTTCCACCACATTGATCATAGCTATCACAAAGATCTGATGGCTCCCTTGGAAAACTCACCCATTCCTTTAGATCCCACACAATTGATTGCAGAACACCATTGCTGGCAAGGACTAATCTCAGTAAACTTGAGCCATATGTGACACCATATCTGAGATAAACCTCTTTCTTATTTATGACCAGGCCATATGGTCTTTCAGTGTTGTTTCCTTCTGATCTCATTCCACTAAAGTGCAGACCGTTCCATGGCCCCGAGCCATAAGTCTCAGTTGTTCCATTCTTGATGATAACTTGTGGGTACCCAGAAGGATCCAGGTGAAGTGTGTATTGCCCGGAAGCTGGATCGTCTTCACTCTTCCAAGCTTTGATGAAAACCTCATGACCAGTCTGGAAATTCCATCCTATCTTCATTCCGGGTAAAAAATTGTCAGTTGGGTAATCAAAACTTTGCCAGAGAAAATTCTCCGGGTTTTCATCATCTGCATCTCTAACCACAAGGTTCCCAGAATCCAGCAACTCTGCAACTGGATTCTGCACTGATCTTGATGAGTTTGCAGACCAAACAGCCTGACTGTTGTCTCCAACAAGTGCGAATTGGCCTCCCGGGGTGATCTTCAAGACTGCTGAAGATGTGTTTGCCATTGGAGCATCTCTGTTTGCAACCCAAACCACTGTCTGAACAGGAATTTGTTTGTACCAGATTCCTATGTAACGGTTTAAGGAATTGGTGGGGCTAAAAAATCCCATTACAAAGGTTCCACCCTCTGAAACGATGGTGTCCCCATCTTTAAGGAACTGGGTTTTAGTAATTAAGTCCTTCCCCAAGGAAATATTTGACGTTGAAGCTAAGAATAACAGAAGCAGCAGAACCATTAAAATAGCTTCCATGGCTACTGCCAGAAGGCGAAAACAGGCGAAAATGACGATCAGAATCCAGTGTAAAGGCATGAAACTTGCCCCCACTTTGACTTTTCTTTCAGTAATTAATTATAGAACCAATGGTAGTCACAATGTACACAGTACACATCTTGTAAGTCTTGACTTTTTGTTTTGTTTTTTAAAGTTCATTAATAACGAGGGAAACCCGTAGTTACTGAGGGTGTACACTGGGCAAATCCCGAATTGTGACTCTAGCTGACAAAGAACCACAAAGATGTAAACCAGCCTACATTGTCCATAGCTGACCGACTCAAACCAAGTTCTGTATAGGTAGATACACAATTTGGTAATCCCTAATCAAGAATCTTGATGAACATAAACAGCAAAACTATTTACATGGTTTTGATGTGTTTGTGCAGAACTTTAGCATAGGAAAATCCAAGCAGCCAACTACCTAGGATCAAACAAGCTAATGGAAACTTCATTTAAGGAACTTGCAGCTTGTGTGCTTGATGAACATTCACCACTGGTAAGCCCCCTTCCTGCTGTGAAGAAACCGGGTTCTTTTGGTTCAGGCAATGCGGCATCGTTGCTTAACATCTGAACTACAGACGACATGGTTGGTCTGTCATCGGGATGTTGTTGCACACATAGTAAACCGACATGGATTGATCTCAGAACTTGAGACAAATCACCCGATTCAACTACTAGATCATCATCTACTAGTTCATATGATCTTTCTTCTCTGTAAAGTTTCCAGGCCTGTTGAAGTTCATAAACTGGATTAGGAGCATATCAGGAAATAGATGAATTAAATAGACTCAGAGATAATATAATACTTACATGCCCAAGGAGGGTGTGGTATTGATCTTCCAGGGAAAACCCTTTGTTTCTCTTACCACTCACAATCTCAAGCACGGAGACACCGAAACTGAACACGTCTGACTTAATTGAAAAAATCCCGAGAACTGCATATTCTGGAGACATATAGCCACTGTTCATGACAAAGAAAGAAGATGAGATCGAGAACATAAAACTTGATTCATAAGAAATGAATTTGATATATATATATATATTCTTGTTCCTAGCTTACTGTGTTCCAACAACTCGACTTGTGTCTGCTCCGGTCTCATTCCCTGCGACGCTCCTGGCCAATCCAAAATCTGATATCTTCGGGTTCATTTCAACGTCTAGCAGAACGTTGCTAGCTTTGAGATCCCTATGAATTATTCTGAGTCTTGAATCTTGATGAAGATACATCAAGCCTCGAGCGATTCCATTGATTATGTTGAACCGTTTAGGCCAGTCGAGTAGCTTCCTTTTTGTGGGATCTGCCAAGAGTTCCACAACACAATCTCATAACATAGAATCAATAGAAACAATTAATTTGCAGGAACTGATGATGAGTAGGCCATACCAAATATGAAGAGGTCCAAGCTTCTGTTAGGCATGTATTCATAGATTAACATCTGTTCTTCCCCTTGAATGCAGCAGCCCAGAATACTCACCAGGTTTCGATGTTGAAGCTTGGCAATAAAGACGACTTCGTTCTTGAACTCATGAATTCCCTGCACAGATGCCTTGGAAAGCCTCTTCACAGCAATTTCCTGCCCATTTTCCAGTACACCCTGCACAACAGAGAACACAGAAAGAAGTTATTAAAATGAAATTCCAAAGTAACAACTAACTGTTCATATTCGGTGCATTATTACCTTGTAAACAGGTCCAAAACCGCCCTCTCCAAGCTTGTTCTCGGCTGAAAAATTGTTGGTAGCTCGAGCTACTGTACGCAAGTCAAAAACCGGCAGCTCGAAATCTTCATCGCGCAGAACTTTAGTCTTCTTCTTTCTCCTCACATACAACATAAAGCTGAACCCGACAAGAATCAATCCAGCAACTGCTGACAAAGTAACTGCAACTATTTCCAGAATCTTTCTGTGCTCCCTTCTTGATCCTGAACCGGGATCTAAAGAAAACTGTAGTGAATATAATTGAACTGGCATGTGCTCCATCTCAACTAAAAGTCTAAGCTGATAGTTGGATTGCACATTAATGGCTATATGCTCAACACGCCCCATCTCAATTAAAAGTCTAAGCTGATAGTTGGATTGCACATTAATGGCTATATGCTCAACAAATATTTAGTTATTTCAGGTGCAAAAGACAAGAATTCTTACCTAGTTCAGAAGATGCGAGTCTGATGTATATGTCTTGCCCTCTTTCAGACATCTGTCTAATGTCAACCAAGTCCCCAAACCATATCAGACACCCACTCCCTCCATTCCTGACATCCAAACTGGAAAAAGCAGTACAAGAACAGTTTTTTAAGCATTCTTGCTGGCATTCTTGGATCGTCATCGTCTCGTTGTACCAGGAATTCTGGGTATCTGGCACTTTAATCCCAGAATACTTGAGAAACCCACCTGCATCTTTTCCATTGTGGCAATCCAGGCTCTTCCTCCTAACACACCCTCCTGCAAACTTTGCCATCCCCCATTCTGCCTGGTTTCTGGGCAAGAAATGATCCAAGCAACCGCAAACTGGGAAGTTACCTATGTTGCAGAGCCCATTTCCCCCACAGTTTCCATATCTGTCACAGTCATCTGTGGGCAATTTCCCAATCGTTATCCAGTCGTCCATCCCGTCCAGCCAGATCAGGCGATGGACAACACCTGTGTAGTTTATATACAACACTGATATGACAGATTTATTGACCAGAGAATAGTTGGTGTAAATCTCGGTCTTGTTGATGAACAAATCGTAATTGTAAATGGGATTTGTGTCCGGACTGGGAATCCCGCTCCACCTCACGCCGTTCCACGGTCCGCTCCGGCAAATGAGAGCTTTTCCTTGCCGGATAATTCCCTGTGGATATCCGGTGACAAGAAGATTTGATGTATATTCAGACGGTGTTGGATCTTCAGCACTTTTCCATGCCGAAAGGTAAACTTCATGGCCAGTTTCAAAGTTTATCCCCATTTTCATCCCCGGTAGGTAAGTATCCGTCGGATAATCAAAGCTCTGCCAGAAGAAATTTTCTGGGTTTCCATTGCCGCCATCTCGCACGACAAGGTTCCCGGAATCCAGCAACTGCATCACCGGAGACGAAGAAGATGACGGCGTGTTAACGGACAAGACAACGTCGTTGGCGTCGCTAAGGAGAGCGAGGTGGGATGAGTTAACGATCTTCAACACCACAGACGTCGCGTTTTTACTGAGTGGAAGTTTTCTGTCGGCAACCCACACCACAAGTCTCGCCGGAATATTCTTGTACCATATTCCGACGTAGCGGTTTGAGGAAGTGGAAGAAGGGCTGAAAATCCCCATCTCAAAGGTTCTTCCGGACGAAATAATGGTTTCATTTTCTGGGAGAGGATCATCAACAGAAATTGTATCTCTTGCCGGAGAAATCTTTAGTATGGAGAAGATTAAGCAGCAGAAGAGAAAAAGGTGATGAGAATCCGCCATGGCTAACCACCCCAAATCCTATACAACAACAATAATGATAATTAAGATCAGATTATGTTACTCTGATTATCATGCCCATTATATTCAGTAATATTTTACTATATATTATTACCAGTTTGAATTGACTCATTAAGACGTCCTGGTTAGTTGGTCTTGCACTAACCAATTAAAAATTTCCAGTATCTTTTCTGCTAGTAAGCTAGCTGTTAAATTTATCTTTTAATTTCCCAGTTGTACTATACAGTCCAAACGAACAGGAACTTAATTGGTTGTTTAATTTGTGATTTCGCTTTCATTTTCAATTGACACAAATTAAAAAACTGTTAAATGTCTTGGTCTTTGCCCACGATATATGAATATATGATGATTCAAATAGGAAGCTTCGACGTGTTCTTTGCTTTTTCTAATCTCACCTTTTTTGACAAAGGAAATGTAAATGGCCGACAAAGGTGAATTGAGTACCACTTCACCAGTAGTCAATCCTTAAACACTCACAGCTATCTTCTTCCAACTTGGATAGATGTAACCTCTTCTCTTCCGGGAAATCAACAATTCATTTCCGGGACTGATCCGCTCAAATCAAGAAGGTTATGTTAATAAACCGCAACTCAAAATGTTAGGGTTATCAAATTAACAATTTGACCATTTAAACAAGTTGCTTAGCTGTTGGGCATATATAATATATAAACATATATATGCAATCCAAATATCAGCTTAGTGGTTAATTGATGTAGAGCACATGTATGTTTCAATTTAGTATCAAAATCAATCCCGACCCAATGAACATGTTGAGCATATAATATATAACTATAAATGTATAATCTAAATGAATTTAGATTATTGAGGTGGAACACCTTCAATTAGCTAGATTATATTTTATTGCATGCATGCATATTAGGGCTTTGTAAGATGAGACAAACATGAATATAATGCTATATATATTAAATATATGGTTGGCCTTTCAACAATATATAATATAATTTGTAAGATAGCTCATAGCTGCATATATATATATAGTATACATTCACTAATATATGTAGAAGAGGACAAATGGAGGTTGTTAAGTATTTATCAACAGGCGTCGTCGTATATACTACTCCGTGTTTCCGTAACAATCTTCGTCTCCGACCTATGCACAAAGTCCCAGAAAAATAATGATTAGTGTTTACTGTTTAGCCTTTACCATGTTCAAAGTCCTTAACGGATTCCCATTAAGATTAGGACGTTAGTTATGTGTTTTTCTTTAATGTTATTTTATCATTTTATAATTATTATAATATGTTATGAATTAAATATTATCTTCCCTTTTGTTTGATTAAATTGTAGATTTTTTTTCTTCAAATTTTTGTTTTCAAAAGTACATTAACATGTATAAACAGGTTATCGTGTTGCGTTGATCCAATTGTATCAACCTATTTAAAAATTATATTCTTGTACATACTCATTAATTTTAATGAGTCATGTTGTGTGACGAAGGAAACCTGTAGTCACTAAGCAATGTGCATTTGGTAAACTCATCTCGTAATCATAATCGGTAAAGAACCACAATGAAATAAATTATGCTAGCATGCTAGGTTGATAAAGATAGGATGTCAATCTTAACCCGAAATCAATGGATTGATCTAATAAGACCGAAAAAATTTCGAGTTAAGGCAAAAAAAAAATGTTAGCCCGATAAAAAATTAACCTAGTAAACTTGAAATTGATAAGCTTGATGGCTCGAACAGACTAGCCCAAAATTTAGTAAGCTAGCCCGAGCAACTTAAAGGCTATTTTTTGTTTCACAAGTAATATGGGACAAAATATATAGGAAATTTATATATAAGCTCATTTTTAATTTGAAAATGTCAAAAGTTTTAGTTGGGTCGATAACTCGAGATTTTAGGGTTAGGGCCAAGAATTTTAAATTCGGCCAAAAAAAAAATCAAAAAGCTCGATTGTCAGTGGCTCACACCCAGAAGACTAATTGGACATCGCTCGCTCCCAATATGAAGGTCAAACTTAGAATCTTGTAATTACCAAACCAACAATCACCTAATTTGACTGATGTTGCATCATCATGTCATGTTTAGACCTATCATATCCAAGTCAACTAATTTATTTTAAAAAAAAAAAAAAAAAAGTCTTACACAAATTGCCATGTCTAACAAATTACGTAGTAACAAACAATTTTAATAACCTGGAATCTTTCAATGTTCACTTTGATACAGAGAAGATGGCGTGGGTGAAACTAAACCATGACATTCTGTGAGAACACAACTTAACAAGTAAAATTCATAATCAGCATGGAGCACAGATCAGACTACCTAGGATCGATCAAACTGAGGGAAACTTCGTTTATCGAACATGCAGCAGGTTGTGTGCTTGATGAAGCTTGAGTACTAGCAGTTAGCGGTCTTCCTGTGAAGAAACCGGGTTCTTTAGGTTCAGGCAGCACAGCATCATGAGTTAACATCTGAACTACCTCAGACATGGTAGGCCTGTCATCGGGATGTTGCTGCACGCACATCAAGGCGACATGGATTGACCTTAGAACTTGAGACAAATCATCTGGTTCAGCGACTATATGCTCGTCCACTAGTTCAGCTGATCTACCATCGCCATGAAGTTTCCATGCCTGTTGATGTTCAAAACTGGATTAGAGATTTAGAGATCTTCTGCTATATGGGATAAACATTATATTGTCACGTCAGGAGAAAAGGGTATATATAGCACTTACATGCCCAAGAAGGGTGTGGTATTGATCTTTTAAAGAAAATCCTTTATTTCTCATGCCGCTGACAATCTCTAGCAATGAGACACCGAAGCTAAACACATCTGATTTAATTGAAAAGATCCCAAGTACTGCATACTCTGGAGACATATAGCCACTATTCGTACCATTAACAACGCCCCCGCCAAACAAACAAAGAAAAGAGAGAACATGTAAGTTCATTCATAGGAAATGATAAATAGGCAGATAATGTACTAAAATTAACATTGATCCATACTGTGTTCCAACAACTCGACTTGTGTCTGCTCCAGTCTCGTCTCCTGCAACACTCCTAGCCAATCCAAAATCTGATATCTTTGGGTTCATGTCTATGTCTAGCAAAACATTGCTAGCTTTGAGATCCCTATGAATAATTCTAAGCCTGGAATCTTGATGAAGATACATTAGACCCCGGGCAATTCCATTGATTATGTTGAACCGCTTTGGCCAATCAAGTAGCTTCTTTTTGTCATGGTCTGCCAGAGAATTTCATAAGTTGACTTTGTGAATTTCATAAAATGGTTCAAAAACTGGACTTGTTATAGCTGATAAGGTCATACCAAATATGAAGAGATCCAGACTTCTGTTAGGCATGTATTCATAGATTAACATCTGTTCTTCCCGTTGAATGCAGCATCCCAGAAGACTCACTAGATTTCGGTGTTGAAGTTTCGCAATAAAGATAACTTCATTCTTGAGCTCATCAATTCCTTGCACAGATGCCTTGGAGAGCCTCTTCACAGCAATTTCCTGTCCATTTTCTAGGACACCCTAGAAATGGATTATTGTGAATGTTAGAAAGAGAAATTTAAATAATAAAAAAAAAAAAAAAACCACAGCCATACAAAGTAAAAACAGTTCATATGTTGGACTTTGGTGCAAACATTCTATGCATTATACCTTATAAACAGGTCCAAAACCACCCTGTCCAAGCTTGTTGTTGGCTGAAAAGTTGTTGGTAGCTCTAGCTATGGTAGGAAAGTCAAAAATTGGTAGCTCAAATTCATTATCGTGCAGTACTTCAGTCTTCTTTCTCCACAAACAGAACATCAAGCTCAGCCCTACGAGAATTAATCCAATAACTGATGACAAACTGGCTGCAAGTAGTTCCAACTTTTTACCACGTTTCCTTCTGGAGCCTGCATCAGAAACTAAGAAAACATTGTGTATACTGTAGTGAGCACCATGATAAAAGAAACCAAGGCTGACTTGAATAATTTCAGATGTAAAAGACAATTTACCATTCAAGAATCCATGAGTTGTATTCTTATCTAGCTCAGAAGATGCCAGTCTGATATATATGTCTTGACCTCTATCAGATAGCTTTCTAATGTCAATCAAGTCCCCGAACCAGAGCAAACAACCACTTCCCCCATTCCTAATATCTAATCTTGAATAAGCAGTACAAGAGCAGTTCTTCAAGCAAACTTGCTCGCACTCTTGGAGTGTCATAGTCTCATCATACCAGGAGTATTTTGTATCTGGCAATTTAATGCCAGGATACTTCACAAATATATATGTTCCGTTGTTGCAGTGCAGGCCCCTCCTCCGAACACATCCTCCAGAATAATCTGCCATGTTCCATGCTTCTTGGTTTCTGGGAAGAAACTTATCCAAACATCCACAAATGGGAAAATTATAAATGCTGCAAATGCCATTTGCACCACATGCTCTGTACATGTCACAAGAATCTGTAGGAAATTTTCCAAAAGTAATCCAATTTTTCATCCCACCAACCCACACCAAGCGCTCGATAAAACCAGTGTTAGTTAAAACTAATATAGATATAATTGAGTTATTATTGAGAGAATAACTAGTATAAACCTCATGCTTGTTAATAACCAAAGCATATGTGTATATGGGATTTTTGTCCATCATTGGTACTCCGCTCCACCGCACACCATTCCATGGACCACTCCGATATGTCACTGCCGTACCATTCATAACAAAACCTTGTGGATATCCAGTAATATCTATATGAACTGAATATTCAGCTGGTGCAGGATTGTCATCACTCTTCCATGCTGTAAGGTATACCTCATGGCCAGTTACAAAGCCCACCTTCATGCCTGGCAAGAGCGTATCTGTTGGATGATCAAAACTCTGCCAGAAGAAATTTTCTGGGTTCACATCACCACCATCTCGCACCACAAGGTTCCCCGAGTCCAACAACTGCAATACTGGATTTTGTACAGATCTTGACAACGACATGTTAGCAGACCATATAACGTCATTGTTATCACTGAGAAGAGCAAGTTGGCTTACGTTAATGATTCTCAGCACAACTGTCGATGCATTAGCACTGAGTGGACCTTCTCTGTTAGCAACCCACACCACAGTCTTCACAGGAATTTTCTTGTACCATATGCCAACATAGCGGTTTAAGGAATTGTTGGGGCTAAAATACCCCATCTCAAAGATTCCTCCAGATGAAATGATGGTTTCATCATCTTGAAGGGTATCATTAAGTGCAATTTCATCTCTTGCTGGAGAAATGGGTAGTATGGAAAATAGTAAGGAAAATACAAAGAGCAGGAGAAATTCTCCCATGGCTAACTACCCCAAGTTCCCCTCCTACAACAATCATATATCTCTTCCATCATGCAGTACTGCAGTGTTTTAGAATTTCCAAATATTCATAATTATAAATTTTACTACCAGCACCTTTTTGACTTAGTCTTGCACTAAAAGTGTAGTATCTCTCTTGTTTTTTTCTCATCTTTCCCTGGTCTCCTATGAGAAACAAAATTCATGATAATGGAGATGCCAATGGCCAACAAAGAGAAGACCCAAAACTCACTTTTCTTCCCCCAACTTGGACTAGAAAAATAAAGGGATGTTTAATTCATACAAAATAAATCTCACTGTTATAAGCAATTATTAAGCACATTAATAAGCATCTTTTATGACTCACAATATTAGGTGATAAATTACAGATCATTAGGTTATTCAAGCAAAGTGACAAACCATTGAAATTGAATGTTGGCTATTACTGTCCGATGATGGTCTGTGCAAGTTGGCTATAAGAAACTATTTCTGTCAGTTGAAAATTGTTGTGTTGCAGCTTTGACTCCTTGAACTCAACAGCATGCTTGGTAAAAACTTATAATAACCTCAAGACTGTCACAGTGCAGCCTTGTCAAAAAAATCAATTAACTTTCTTGTTGATCAATTACGCAATAGATTATGACCACTTTGGAGTGTCCATCAATGATACAATTGGAGCTTGACAGAAGCTTCTAAGCTTTCACCTAACTTTAACCCAGTAAAACTACAAATGAGATTGCAGTCATGTTGAAGCATGTCAATGGTGGTGTTGCCCACTTTGGAATTTAGAGAAATTAGAACAATCTGAAAAGATAGCCACACAATCTGGTTTTTTTTTTCCAGATGTTGACTTTTTTCAATACCCATTTTGGAATTTAGAGAAGCAAGAAGGATGGAAATGAGACAACATTCATGCTCTAAGTAAATTCCCATAAATCCCGGTCTCAAATCCCAGAGCTTTTCACCTCTGAATGCTAGCATAGACAAACACATTAACGTCCAATATTGCAGGACCTCATTTTTCAAAAGTGTCTATTAGAAAACAGTGTTACCTTCATCAGCGGAGCTCATTATTATCTTACTGCCTAATCATCTTTGATAAAAAAATCACAGCTACTAACAACGCAACTTCCTACCTGTGCACAACTTTATTGATATCTAAATCTTAATAAGCAAAAGCTGTAAATAACTCTTTTTGCTCTTTTCATTTCAGAAAGAGTACCTTTTTGCTCTTTTCATTTCCTTTGATTGACCTCCCTGCCTTGTGAATCACTCTGATCCAAACAATTCTTGTGTAACCTCCATGATTTGGAGAGAAGAATGCACCTGTGAGGCATCATCTTAAGGTTGATAATTAGAACTTTGAATATTTTGGGAACTTTAAATGAAATTTATTTATGACAAAAATTTTGTAGAATAAGAACCACATTAAGGCAAACCTAATCATCAATCAATCTTAACTCAGAATTTAGATAACTGGAATCAACATTCAAAGCAGTAGTTTCAAGGGCTTAATGAATCTGAAAGCACCAATACAACGAGAGAACCTTCAATAAAGACTAGAAAACGACAATGGTATGACAAATTAGCAATAAACTTAGGCAATATAAAAACATTTCTCATTCATACATTCACACATCAATCAAAATAAAAATCAAAGATTCAAGATACAGCCTGCAAAACATATCGCTTGTAATCCCATTTCATTACTCGTGGCCAGAAGATGGTGATAACAATATTGTTTTGCATGAAAGCATACAACAAAATATACAATTATCAGAAACATCCCTCTCAGGAATGTTTCAGGGAACAGAAAACTCCCTGAACCACTTTTTTAATGCCAGAAATGGCAATACCATAACAGCATACTTAACCATGTGCTCAAATCTTGCTTTCCAACATTCTCACTTCTCATTTTGCAAAAAATCTAACCCGCATTGTCCAAAATCATCGTTAACAAAGATCACATCAGGTGCCTAATTTTCCTGTCCTTGAACAGAAGCTTCTTCCTGCAATGAATTCTCTTTAATGCCTTTCTCTTTTCTTGTTAAAATTCTTAAATTCCAGAGAATTTGCATCAGCCCACCATTTACCAAATGCAACACAAATACCTTTACTCCTGGTGTAAAAAATATAGATATAATCTTCAGAAGGGCAAAGAAGGAACCTATTCCCAGAAGCTGTAGAGTCAAGCCTTCTTCCTGACAAGCAGATCAAAGTAAAATATAAGTCTGAAGAAAACAATTCAAGGCAACACTTAAGGGAGTGTGGAGGAGCATACAACTACCTTAGAGTTGGATAACAGTTCTTGTGACACCTCCTTCAAGAAGTCAGCCATTATGCATCCAGCAAATAGACCACATGGTACCAGTAGCTCTTTGTTTGTGGAGATAGAGTATATGGTGTCAAATACAGAACCACCAATAAATAATGCAGTTAGTAACCACTTCAATACCTCCTTCCCAAAATCCAACAGCTGCTTCACTGCAACACTCTCAGCTTTCTCCCATTGAAAGTTTTTCAATGAATCAGGAAATAAGTGCCATAATTTCTGCTTAGCATAACATAACTGCATCTTGAACTTAGAAGGCTCGTCGAATTGTCCCATTGTTGGTAATTTTACAGAACATATTGGAGGAACTGAGTTCTTTCTCATATGTATCAATACAGGACCATGTAAATGATGGAAGCCACTTTTAAACAATGCCATCTGCAAAAATGGCAGAAAGCAACATTATGTAGAGAATTTAGTTAAGACTTTCAAATCTTTTCATTAAATCATAGATATAGCTCAATTTTCTCCATGACATCGAAACTTCTTTGTTAGTGGAGGGAACCATAGCCGGATCTTCACCAAACATAAATTAAACCAAGCATCCAAATGCAATCAAAATTCAACCCAGAAACATAAAATTACCGTAATTATCAAACACATTATCAAGAGTAATGCCTAAATACATAATAATCATTAAAATTTCCAAAGTTTTGTTCCTTTCTCTACTTCTTTGACGACAGTAACCTACTTCATTTTGCTTGTTCGCTATTCTCCAACCATGAAGAAAAAGTGGAAGGAAATAGAAATTGAAAAGAAGAAAGTTTCCACAGGGTAAGTAAATCAGGAAAAGCCGGAGAATATGGGCAAAGAGAAAGTTACCGGAGAAGTTGGATGCACCGTTATTAACGCCGCCGACGAAGCCATGCCGTTCTCTTTCGCCGTGCCGCGCTGTTCAGTTGGTTTGCATAAGAGGGTATATTTGTCAATTGGTGACTATGAGTAACTTCTGGAGGCCCAACAACTAAGCCCACAATCTTGTGGGCTTGGAAGTTTTTATTTGCGCAATTGCGCCATTCTTTCAATCTTTTTGGGCTCTAAATTTTTTTTACACTCTCCCAAAAATATGAACAAATTTTTTTTAATGCTATTGACTCTATTACATTGTAGTATTTGATATGAACAATTTTTAATTCTTTTTCATTTATATTTTTTGAAAACTCGGAGTATAGTAGTAAGAACAATAGCATTTCAATTGGTAATTTATTTATGGTTTTTTATGTGTTGAGCATAATTAAAGACGGTATATCTAGTTTTATTGGATATTATTAGCATTGAAAACTTAAGGCGCGTAATTGTAAAGTTTAAGGTGCATATTTTTAAAGTTTAAGGTATGTCATTTTAACACTTAAGGTGCGTTATTTTAACATTTAATCAATACAATTACTTTCTTATCTTTCATATAAGACTTCATCTCCCATAATTAATTACATTAGTCCTATTTTAATTAATTAATTCCATCCACATTAACCTATACCAAATTTCTTAATTTGTTTGTAGTGTTAATAGTACTAGCCTTGCAAGACTCCAAAATACATTATATAAGATGTAGACTTGCCATCTTCCAATTTAGCATGCATGTTTCATTCCGTCGTACATATTTTTGGTTAAATTACAAGTATATGCTCAATGTCATTTTTGGTTATGTCCCTAGCTAGCTTGCAAGTATTTGCTTTCATTTAATAAGTTTAGTGTGAGGCTTGCCAAAACTTTCACAATTATAAAATTCCGCTATCGAAATGTTTCCTTGACTATAGCGAAATTATTAAATTAGTCATTGCCTATTATTTTTATCTAATTATTAAGTCCATTAACTTTAAAAATCTTAACCAATTTTATTTTCCGCTTGTTAAGATGTCAGACGTCTGTTTACTCATGATCAAATTGTTAATTTCGCTGTAGTCAATAGACCATTTCGGTAATTACTATTCAGTTTAATAAAAGAGGAAATGGTGCAGACCGAAATGTTACAATAGATAAATAATCTTGCATTATTTATTATTAGGATCACGTGAATACAATATTTCAATATCGAAAATGCAGAGAAATAATCTTGCATTATTATTAATTATAAATGTATGTAACATCTATCAATTTCATTGTCCAATCTCCATAACCCATCCCTTTTTATCTTCAACGGTGCCTGCTTGGATCCCTGATAATGTCGATGACAGTTTCTGGGAGACGGATCCAATCTTGTACTCAACTCTGTTCATGGGATATATTTAGGAACAAACAAACAATAATTTAATCAATTAGATTATCTTCTTTTTATTTTTTTTCACAAAACAATTATTAGATAAGATCTGATCTTCATTTTTATCATTTCTTGATTGTATAATTGAAATTAATTAATTAATTAAGGTGGTCGTGCCTGTTGCCCTTGTATGTGATGCTTCCCACATTGCAAACACCCACCGCAGTTCCAGTACAAAATACTTCTTCAGCACTTCTTAATTCATCTATGTGTATCATGCGCTCTTCCACCTGTATTATAATATAATATCTCACTCATAAAGTCAAGTTAAATAATTAAGAACATTATTAATGCTTAATTAATTAATTAAAAGGATTAATATAATTACTTCAAATCCAAGATCACGTGCAATGTCCATGATGCTTTTTCTGGTCACACCTTCTAGGATGGTACCGTTTGCAGGTGGAGTTGACACAACATTGCCCTATAAATAAACTAATTAATTAATTGCCTGCACCATAAGATCAAAATCCAAAATAATAATAATAATAATATGGGTTGACTATGTTGGTCAGATATTGACTTAGTAATCACAAGATTACACGTTCGATTTTAGTGAAAGTGGCCTGACTTAGACTGGTTTAACTCCTTATAGTCTTTTACTGATTATTGTTACAAAATAGAGTTTACCCAATGCATACATTTTAAATAGTGATTGCGTATTTTTTCATCATTAAAAAAAAAAAAAAGATACATATATTATATATATAATGTGTAATATTAATTAAAGATTTACCTTAACAATGAATATGTTAGAGGCAGAAGCCTCCTCGATGTAACTCTCGTGGACTGAATCAAGATACAATACCTCAGAGAACCCTCTCTTTTTTGCTCTCGTTATGGCTTTCAAAACCTATATATATGGCACAAAAAATTAACTTTTTTTTCGTAAAAGTTATGAACAAAAATGAATACAAAAGTGATTGTCCATAATCAAATTGGACCGTAATTAATTCATATCGTTGTCACACTTTAACGATTCATAATATATATTTTAAAATTTAAAATATTAGTAACCAAAATGAATGTTAGGGCTTGAGTTGCATACTGGAGCATAGTTAGTAACACTCTTAACACCACCCGCTCCACCACGAGTGGCACGATGATACTCATCCTCGACATATAAATTCAAGGAAGATCCCTCCTACAATTCATAAAAGTAATACATAAATATATATAAAACCAATTATGCATGAAGTTTGAAATGAAATTGATTAAAGTATAGGCTATTTGTTATATTAATTAACCTTGAAATAGTTTGCTACGGGGCATGCATAGACAAGGAAAGTGTAATCCAATGCCGGGGCAACCCCTAAAACTGGTCCCGTTGCTAGTAATAACGGCCTCACATATAGAGACCCTTTTCCATAAGGAGGAATCTGCACTAATTTACGAGGAATCAATAAAGTAAGCGATAATGATAGTACCTAATTAAAAAATTTAAATAATAAGAATTGAAGCATCTGTTTCGTCTCAACTAAAAGTCTAAATAGATAGTTGGATTGCACATTAATGATTATATGTTCAACAATAAATTTACCCAACGCTTGTTAGCTACGGCTGTTTGTCTGACAGCTTCAACAAAGTGCTCCACGGGAGGGGAAGGCATACACATCCTCTCAGCACCAATCTTCATTCTCATCCCGTTTTGTTCCGGCCGGAAAAGAAACATGCCTCCGGTTTCTCTTCTATATGCCTTTATGCCTTCAAACAAACCCTGTTCGCCATAGATATATATGACCGGTAACTCGATTCAAGTATTCTATAATTTTAATTTATTAATTTTAAGATGAATAAGTAACGTTATACGGAGTATTATACATTCATACCTGCCCATAATTTAACACCCCTGCTTGTGGTGTCAATTCTATGTTTCCAAAAGGACTAAGTTGGCCCTGTTCAAAAGTCCCATCCTGGTTGAATTTAGTCATGTACATGTAATCGGTAGGTTTGGGGCCAAATCCGATGTTGTCCCAATCAATGTCGGCAATCTCTTCACCACTAACACCACAAACTCAATAGAAACTTGTCATCATTCGTTCAATAGAAAAAACAAACAAACTACTAAAAGTGCTTTCGAATTTGATTAAGATTTTAAGCCTACAGAATTTAACTCTTACTTGATATATAACATAACTGTTACACATATACAAGAATCAATCTTTCACTCTACAGTTATAGAATTACCTGTAAAGATCACCAGCCAAGCGTAACGAAGACGCAGCATGAGTGGCAATGGGTCTAGCTCCAAGCTACACAACCACAGTCATCAAACAGATGTAAGTTTACATTCAACTTGATGGTAATAAAACAGATAAATTAAAAACGAAAACCAGAAATTGACCTGTGGTAGAAATGCATAATTAACCAATCGGCGAAGGGAAGCTGCCCGTTGAATCATGTTGCAGATCAGAGTTCGATCAGTTCTAGGTAATTTGCAGGAAAACCAAGAAATATGAAAGAACTCTCAGGTTTAGATGGCAGATGGCTGGAGAGGGATTGAATATATATATACATGGAAACTACTAGCCAGTTAGACATCATGGGAAGCAAATAATATTAAAGTATCGAGAGAAAAGGGGTCGGCATTTACAAGGATTATATTGAGGTCTAAAAACCTCAAGGAAAATTGGAAATGAAATAGGACGGACCTAAAGGAAAATGAGACAAAAAAAAAAAAATTGTGTTCAAACGAGAGTATAAATAAATAATAAAATGAAAGAAAGAAGAGGAAGAAATATGTAGGTTATTATTGATAAAAATGTATAATATACAGTAGGGGAAGTTATTGTTTTAGTTTGTGAGTTAAGGGTAAGTGTACTTTTTGTCCACCGATGAGCTGTAATATTAACCCATAACGTGTTACCAAGGTGGTGTATTCAGTCAACATTAATATAGAAATGTCAAAATTCTACCGATGGGTTGCACCATGCATTGTGCATACGAATGCAAAAACGACGTCGTTTTGACTAAAAACGCGCGTCACACTTAAAAAAAAAATTCAGTTTCGATTCCCCTCAACCACATTATGTTGTTCATTCATTCTTGAATTTTAGTTCATAGATTCTGGATTTTTAGTTCATTGATTATGGATTTTTAGTTCGTTCATTGATTCTGGATTTTTAGTTCATTGATTTTGGATTTTTAGTTCATTGATTCTGAATTTTTAGTTCATTGATTCTGGATTTTTAGTTCATTGATTCTGGATATTTAGTTCATTGATTCTGGATATTTAGACGTAAATCGAAACTGATTTTTTTTCATTCATGCTGGATATTTAGTTCATTCATTATGGATTTTTAGTTCATTCACCCTGTATTTTTAGTTCATTCATTCTATATTTTTAGTTCATTGATTCTGGATTTTTAGTTCATTGATTCTGGATATATAGTTCAAATTATGCACAACATAATGTTGTTGCTGAGAATCGAAACTAAAATATTTTTTTTAAGTGGGACGCACGTTTTTAATAAAACGACGTCGTTTTTGCATTTGTATGCACCATGCATGGTGCACACGGATGCACAGCATAATTTGCCATTACTTGTGGTATGACGCTCGACCTCAACCTAAGTGGTTGGACTTGGCCCATTTCAGTTTGAGACAATCATTATTACATGGATCATAAATAAAAAGTACATTTTTAATATACTAAGGGTACATTATTTCATATAACATACTTTCAGTGCAACAATAATGTATCTTTAGTACAAAAATAATGTACTTTTAATATATTAAAAATATACCTGATATTTATGATGTACACAATAATTTGCCAATTCTGAGATTGTTGGGCGTGTTTACTCATTTTCTGAAAATGGCAATTGAGATGAATTATTTTCAAATTTAGGGGATTTCATTACATGAACGTACTTTTAGGCAATCAATTAGTAATTAATGCACATAATTTATGAGATTTACTTTCTTAATTAAGGCTAACGTTGGAATTATGCCTGCCAATCCCCCTCTGTAAGCTTAGATGGCTTCGTTAGATTGCTTATAGTTGACTGACTCAAACTGAGAAAGTCAATAGATCCCTCATGTTAGGAGTTAAATTTATAACATTGCAATTACTAAGTCAACACCTAATTAACTTGGCTAAAATTGCCTAGGTGACATGATTAGTTGATGATTATAATGACAATATGAATAAAAACTTATGTATGTATTTATCATCAAATTATTCATTTATATTTTTTAAAATTCTTATTAAATTAAAAAAAAACATTAATTTCTATTATTCATCCAAATTTGTAAAATAATATATTTGAATAAAAATCTATTTCATTTTCCATTTTTTGACATTCAATTTAATTTATAATCATCAATATGCACTATATACGTTTGAATAAAAGGGAAAAAAAAATTACGTAATTACAAAGAGGGATAGAGATTAGATAACACAAGACCTTCATGTGCTCGAATGTAACTAATTCAGACAATTTGTTACAACATATGTTTGGCATGCCAAATATTGTTGTAATTATGGGGAGGTTGTTGTTTTTCTATGCTTCCGTAACTGTTCGTCTTGTAGCTTTAATCGGTAAAGAGTCAAAATGAAGTAAACTAGTCTAGGTTACTCAATTGGCTCAAATCGAGAATGTCAATAGATAACTTCTATAAAAGTCGAACTCGAAACATTATTATGATTACCAAACTAACTGATCAATTTGGCTTGAGTTTCTCTGGAACTAACGTGACCTGAATGGTAATAAGATTTTGTTATGGTTGTTCTTTTTTTTTTTTTCTTTTTTTTTTTTAAGGTTTATCAAAGCAATTAATATAGTTTTTTTTATTAACTCAATTTTATATTTACTCGTGTAAACACGTACTCCAGAAATAATCATAATAAAAGAATAATACCAAATTTAATTACCTCTTATACAACCAGGTACGTGAAACTTGCGGACTAATATTTTACAAAGGAAATGAATAATGCTTCCTTCAACTAACCTATAAAATTATCGTACATAAATATAGTTTAGCTTCGACCACAATTAATGACAAATCACGTATTCCAAAGAAAATGACAGCTTCAATTCTTAAATTATACAAACATGACATTTTTTGTCTCTCAATTATACTACTCATCATTTTTTGGACTTCAATTGTCAGTGAAGTGAATTTTTCCGCCTCAATTATTGCTTATTAAACATTTTTTTCATTTTATCTTTATGCAAAAAATATAACAATAAGCAATTTTCAATATAATCAAATGTCATTGCAATGTACAACAACCACAATCAAATAAATACAAATAATGCAGACCACACTATATGTTGGGGGGGGGGGGGGGGGGGGGGGGCGCTAGTTGCATGTGAATTGCATTGTTTTTTTTTTTTTAATAGAGTACAAGAACTATTATTATTATTGTTTAAAAAAAAAGTATTCCACGTGAATTGCAATCTTTGTATATATATATAGTGAAGTTCCGGTAGTGTTTTCTGTGCAGTTGTGATGTCACTTATTATTAGGTAGTATAAATGTACTACAAAGCATTCAAAAATGCACTATTAGGTGTGGTGATGTGTGATGCGTTTTGTGGTGCATTTCATTGTAGTGCATTTCTGAACATTGTGTGGTGCATTTATGCATACCTGATGGTGAATCCGTACCAGCCGCACGGGAAGCACTGTTCGCATTTGAACTAGTGTGTGTGTGTGTGTGTATGTATATATATAGACACACAATGGTATGTATTGGTTCGTTGGAAAATGTTTTTCGTGAATTTGAGGAAATCTGATTTTTCCTTTGTTTGGTTTATAGAAAACATTTTCCTCAAGAATGGGGAAAACATTTTCCATGACCTCCCTTTGTATTTTGTTTTCCATGAAAAACAAGTAGAACAATTATGCCCTCACCAACTTTTATTATTATTATTATTATTATTATTATTATTATTATTATTATTATTATTATTATTATTATTATGTAGGGGTATAAACGTATTTAAACTTATTATTCTTTGCAATTTCAAACTCAACTAAACAATAGAATTAATATTTTCAGTAATTTATTTTTTCACCAACCATACAATGTAACTAATCTTCCTGATAATTTCTTTTCATAAACTTTTAATTTCATTTCCCATTAATATTTTTCACGAACTAAACGGGGCGTAAGTGTGGGCAACCAACAATATAATATGCCTGCTATATATTTATGGCCCAAGCTTGTTGGTCAAGACTCAAGACTGAGCCCAACTAAAAGAAAGGCTTTTGCATATGTTTTTTTGTAACATTAATTTTTTAAACTCACTGACATCTAACCCACCCATCCCACTTTTAATTGTTAGGTCATGGACTCGGTCTATTTTACAAGGTGGACTCAGATTCAAAATGATGTAACTTTGCGCGTATGGAATAATGATGTTGTTAGTGGTACCATTTTCTCAATTAATGATATTTTGTGTGTGAATATAGAGTTCAAAAATTGTGAATATAGATTCAAAAATTATGTTATACTGTTAATATAATTGTAAATATAGAGTTCAAAAATTGTGAATATTGAGTTCTGTAATTTTGTATATTGAGATATAAAATTGTGAATATAGAGTTCTAAAATTGTGAATATAGAATTTAAAAATTGTGAATATAGAGTTCTGCAATTGTGATTATTGAGTTCTGTAATTTTGTGTATTGAGATCTAAAATTATGAGTATTCAGTTCTAAAATTGTGAATATAACATTCTAAAATTGTGAATATAGAGGAACGAATTCTGAAGAGAAACGCTAAGTTAACGGTAAGAAATGAAGTATTTTTTTTAAAAAAAAAAAAAAAAAATTCAGACGATGTTATTCTGAAGCAAAACGACACTATTTTGGACCGGGTTCACCCACATCATAATTTGCCCCCACTTTCCTCTCTGCTCCATCTACTTTTCGATCCAAATTAAAGTTGCAAATAATTGGCATGTTGCAGAGGGATCTGAGAGAGCACAATAATAAACCCACTTCTTTGGAGCTAATTAAGGCACTTTAATTTGTTCAATTCCTTCGACTTGTGAAAAATCTAGGAATTGAAGTGTAGTAAAGGCGATGAGTTGATCATATCATCATGTGAAATGAATAAGAATCCTGCGAAAACAACGTTACATAAATATAATGTCGCCAATTATATATATTACGAGGTTGACAAGAATAATCGACATACCATGCACCAGAATAGAATCTTAATTGCGTCACCAGACATTTACATTCTTTGATCTCATCTCTTAGCTGTTAGAATCATTTACTCCATCTATCCTTTGTCTACCAAAAAAAATGTATCTTAATTATTCTCCTAGTAACCACATAGTTACAAGTTCGACTCTCAGCTGACAGAGAACAGTTTATTGATTTTCTTAATTTGAGCTGGTATAGGTAACTTAAATTTGTTTACTTTTTTTTTTTTTTTTTTGTGGTCATTTGACGGTTAGGATCACAAGACAAAGTTTACCCAGTACACATCTTTTCCCAGCTTGAATTACAATGTGAGATTATCCAATACACACCTTCAGATAGTGGCTGCAGGATTTTCTCCTTACACCCCCTTCCCCCTCCCAAAAAAAAAAAAAAAAAGTCTCTTATTCTCATACTATTGCAATTCCTGCATGCATTCTTTTCACTAAAATAGAATGGCATCTTAAAGCCCTCTCTAGAACAGTGTATTCCTATTATTGGTGAATATGGGGATATTCTTTTTGT